ACTGTGTTGGTGTGTTGAATACAACAAGTGAATAAGAATGACTAGTGGTTACTAGTTGGGACTGTGTTGGTGTGTTGAATACAACAAGTGAATAATACACAATATATATTGTACCTGCATAGCAAATTTTACAAGCTCCATAAACTTGGATAACTTGGAGATTTTGTAAACCTCCCAATTCTTTTCATCCATATTGAACCAGCCCTTGCCAACATCAAGCAAACTACTTCTGATGGCTGTTCGTAAGGTATTGAGCCAGCTGTCACGCAGAAAGATCTGCACCTAAAATACAAAGGATTGTTTAAAATGATATCAGTTCTTTATTTTTTTTGGTCTGGTATCCTAAAAAATCGTGTATTCTGATTGGCTGTTTGAGCGGTAGTATCTACCCGCGCACACAGCCCGGTATCCTTTGCCGCTAAACGACAACAGAAAACAATTACAAAAACAAGTAAAAAAAATACAGGAAAAAAATTAATATGTCATTTATCGTCCTATAGTCAGTCCGGATAGAGGAAAAAGTAGGGCCTAACGGCCTTGGTCCGTATATTCAAGACCTCGGACACAGTTTTTCCCTATCCGGACCTCCTGGCTGGTAAACAACATATATATATATGTTATGAATATTACATTTGATTTATTGGAAGCAAATCATAAGAGCACAGCTTGGAAGACAATTTCTATTTGATCATATGCATCTGAAATAACAGCTACTCTAATTCGTATTTTATGCAGGCATTAATAAACTTGCTGGCTATGCTGTGTGAATTTATAGAGCATTGAGGGTTAGCAGAACACTTGTATGAGAAGTGTTGAGCTAGCACTCTGCTACATGTAATACTTCTTCTAACACTTCTCTTGCGTGTGACTTTTCTTTATTTCAATCTTAAATTTGTATAATATAATACAATCCTGCCAGCCCAAAAATTATAATTTCATTTAAAACACATTAGTTTTGTTGTGGAAATGTTCCAGATCATACAGTCCCTGCATAAATTACCTGTGAGCTGACTTGGGCCTGAGCTTGCTCAAACTCTTCAATCTTCATGCTTTTCGTGACTGGGACTTGGAACACAGACATGGATGACACCTTGTTACATTCAGTTATCACTTTTCCCAGAGCAACAATAGATTCTTCTCTTGTGAGGAGAGAGTTGAATGCAAAGTTGTCAAACTTTTCATCAAAGGGGTATGTTGGTACATCTGGATGGAAACCTGTAGAACAAAATATAGCAAAACTAGTTATAGAGCTGAACACATTGAAGCCAAGGAATATGGGAGAGAAAGGGCTTTGGTTAATAGATGGTGCCCAGGGGGGGACTCCTCGGAAAAAGTACCGGGGATGCTCATCGGAGATTTTCAATAAGACCCCTAAAAGATACCGGAAGTCTTTAAAAAAGGGAGTGGCTGAATGATTTTTAGCCCCTAAGAGATACCACAACAAATGATATTAAGTTTTATATAAAAAGCGCCTACAATAAGCTATTTCGATGCGCGCTTCCCTCCTTTTCTGACACCAGAAAATGCTTATTTTCAAAAACGTGCATTTAACACCCTAAAAGATACCAAATCTCGAATTTTTACCCCTAAGAGATACAACGAGCATCCCCGGTACTTTTTTCCCAGAGTCCCCCCCCGGGAGATGGTGCTTTGAAGTGTCTGGTGGACAGTAATGCATGGTTGCACTAAAACCAAAATTTCATTTGCAATAATTATCTAATATAAACAATATCAAAATTACAACTGTCTGACTGTCTAAGATATGTAGTTAAGACATAGACAGATATATAGTAAGCATACAACTGTAGACAAATATACAGTTAAAATTGTGTCCTCCCATTGTTGAACACTATTGCTAAGAGTATGAACACTAGCAAAGCTTGCACTTGATTTACACATCTGATGATCTGAAGACTCACAGTTTTGGAGTTGAAAGTGTGTACTTTGTACTATACTTTATGCATTTTAAAAAAACATTATAAATCTGCTATATAACTATAGCCTCCTTTGCAGCCGTTCTTAGGGGGGAGGGAAACATTGCGTGACGACCCTAAGAACGGCTGCAAAGGAGGCTACTATAACTTTTTTTTTAATGATCACAGATTGCCCATCAAATATGAAATATGCAGACCTCTTTCAGGAATGACTTCTTCTTCTTTCTCTTGGATGGTCACATAAGGGAACATGTCCCTCTTGGTTGATACCACCCTGTCAAATGTTATCTTGTTCATGGAACGGGCAAAGTCTATTTGTACTTCCTTGCAAAGTAAACGAATGTGTTCTTCCAGGCTTGAAAATCAAAATAGAGAATGAACGATGAAATAGGAAGCAAGTCAGAGTGGTGTGGCAGTAGTGCATGGACACTTGTGTCTCACCTCTAAGATATAATGGGTTATATGATTATATTGTGCTGGACTTGAGGGTCCACTAGCACGGGGAGGAGGAACTGAGAAATATGTCAATAGTTGGAGGATTTTAAAGCAACACTGGTTTTTCACTCTTTGCAAAACGAGACCCACTCAATTCAAATTCAGTCTGTGATGTGCCATGATTTACAACAGTCCAGAGCTAGGTTGTTTTAGGGTTTGATCTGTGAGTTAGCCGTGCCCTGACTTAGATCAGCCCAGAGGTTGTTACAGGGTTCAATCTGTGATTTAGTCATGCCATGACTTAGATCAGCCCAGAGGTTGTTTCAGGGTTCAACCTGTGAGATAGCCATGCCCTGACATACATTAGCCCAGAGGTTGTTTTAGGGTCAGTAAGATGTTTCCTGACTTAGATCAGACCAGAGGGTATTCAGCGTTACTTGGATAAAATTGAGTGACAGTATTGACTTACTTCCTGTCTTTTCTAAGTGTGCGTGTCTCTCTTGCCCAGTTGACCATCCTGTCTATAGAGCAAGTATCCAGTCTTGGAACACCATCTATTGGCATGCAATCAATGTACAAGTTGTACCGCAACAAAGATTCAGTCTCACTCCTCGATGCAAATGCCTTGGCAACACGTTCAGCAAATATCACAGGATCTTCTGCCGCAAATAATAACCTTATCCTTGGCACTTGAAATGGACTTTCTGTGATTTTCCTTTGACGCTTAGGAGATGGTGGTCGCTCCTCCAATGGGTTAGTAACCACAGCCCTAACTTTGATCTCCTCAGGCACAACGTTATGCTGCAATCCTTTGGAGCCTACTAGTCTTACAAGGAATAGTTCAGTCTCCACATCATAGGCTAATGCCCCAACATCAACCCATTCATACTCTTTTGCACCATTTTCACCAAACCCTGTTGGTAACAGTGCCTTTCCTGGAACAGGTTTAGCTACTCCATCAGACAAACCCAGATTCATCCACTCTTGGGGTGTCCTTGTGTCATACTCTGTGTCATCAAAGATGTGGAGTGGCAGAAAATGAGGGAAAGGAGCTGGGTCACCATTGGTTAAACCGGTCAAGTTGACTGACATGTTTAAGTCTTCTTTAGGCATAAGATCAGCTGTATTAACACCAAACTCTTCCAGTAGACTATCAATGTCTTGTTTGGCATAGATGCGCTTCCGCCTGAAAAAGAAAGATCATGACTCATTTATCTTATTTGTAAAACTATATAATATTAATGAAGTTTTTACCTTTCAATCTCAATTTTTCTGGGTACTTGGCCAGTCTCTGTTTTATATGGAAGTTGAACCTTAGGTTCCCAAGCTTTTGATGGAAAACTCTATCAAAGTGAAAAGAAAACCACACATAATCAAAGCAAAGCTGTTTTATTTAATGTTAAATTAAAGGCATTGGGTAAGGCATTGGAAAACATGACTTAAGACTTAAGATATCGAAAACGCACACACTTGCTGTGTGCAGTCATAAAGCAAGGGCGGATTGGCAGAACAGGATAGAAGTGTTAGGAGAAGCACAGCGCATAGCGGAGTGCTTCTCAACACTTCTCGAGTGTTCTGCCAATCCCCAAGTGCTTTTTGACTCCACACAGCACAGCAAGCAAGTTTTAAATTTCTTTTATAAAATGCAAAAGGCACGTGCGTGCTGCGAGCTCTCATAAAGCATGCGCTTCCAACCAATCAGAATGCGAGATTTATAACAGTTATCAAATAATGTGATCGATGTAAACATGCTGGGAGCTGCAAAGCACCAGAGAAGAAAGCTTGGGAGCACAAGGCATAGCCCATTGTTTTTCTTACTTTTTGAGTCCTCTGCAGCTAACAGGGTGTTTATGTCACAATACAGAGACATAACAAAGTTACTACTATATAACACTTTTATGACATATTTTTGAAATATTTTGCACTGACATGTCTCTGTCCTATGATATAAGAACAGTATCCATCCAATCAGTGTACCTGTTATATCTGAAATTTTATCTGAAATTATATTTTATGTAAGAAGTTAAATGAAGTGAGCGTCATACTTACTGATACTGTAATAGGAGCAGAAGTTGGACCGTGGTATTGGTCTTTGAGAACTTCATTCAAAGATTCTAGGTTTTCAGGGCCCTTGAAGGTATTCACTAAATTGAATCATAATTATACAATATTATTCATTCAATGTGAAAATAAATACACCATATGAATTGTGGGATTTCCAATTTTAAGGACATTTGCGGGCATTATTTTCTAACTCCAAGAGGAGTGACTAGATACCCAATCCACCCCTTGAATGTTATCTTGTATAGGTTATTATTTTATTTTACGGCAAAATGGACTAATCAAATCAAATCATTACTATCAGCTTTTTAACAAACAGAAAACTTCAGGTAAGACAAAAGGCTATATACAGTGTATAGTCCCAAAAGTCATACACACTTTCCCCACCACACCCCCCCCCCCCCCCCCCCCCCCCCCCCCCCCCCCCCCCCCCCCCCCCCCCCCCCCCCACCCCCACAAAACCAGGAGGATTATCTTAAAAGATCCCCCTACCCCAGCCTATTTTCTTCCATACAAACTCTGTAACTTTGTACTTTTCGTACCCCCCACCCCACCCCTCTGGAATTCCAAATTCCTTTTGTGGGGGGTGGGAGGTTTGGCACTGCACAATACACAATAATTAAAATTATTATTATTATTAATATTAAAATTATTTTATACTTATTACCTTTTGGAGTATGTTTAACCTTTGCGGCTTTCCATAAAGTGCTTTGGGCTGCTGCTGGCCCCACAGCAATATCCTAAACATAAATATCAAAATAATTTACAATTAGAAAATAATGTAGCTTCACAAGTACAGCTGTATACCTACTGACTTTTAGAAGGGTATACAGGTGTGTAGGCAGGGGAGCCAAGAGGGCAAAAAAAATAAACTTAACAGTGTTTTTATTACCAAGAGGGCAAAAAAAATAAACTTAACAGTGTTTTTATTATGGCTTTCTTTGTTTGGCATTTCGGTGGCTAAGGCTAAATGACAGGTTTTTGAATTTTTGAAATAGAAAAGTTACAGTATTGACTTTTAGTCAAATCCCTCAAATCAAATCATGCATCTGCGAGCTACACGCTGAAATTTGGCTTTTAGCTGCCGTCAATCAAATCTTATCAGTCAATACCTTTCATATTTTTGACTGGCGGCAAAGAAAAACCAAATTTCAGCGTGCAATTCAGAGACACAGAGTTCTCATGTTTATGAAAACTGAAGTAAGTGCAAAGTTGACACAAGTTAAGCTTATTTTTGAGCTCTAAGTTTCTACATTGTTGACTGCTCTTTTTTTGCCATATCAAATTTATTTACAGACTGGCTTCGTTTCTGCACTGCTACAGAGGTCTTGGGTATTTTATTTTTACTGTAAACGTTTTCCAAAACTAAGATTAGTATTTTAAAGAAGCAAATTTGTATGACATTAGGCTTTCGTTATAGTAACTTCCACCACTGTTAAAGTGTACTGTACATACCCCAACATCGTGTCTGGCTCCTTCAGCCAATATATCCGAATAATACCCTCTCTGTTTGATATTAGGATAGCTCAAACCTGCAGACTGAGGTGAGCGAGGAGAAGGAGAAATGGCTCTTCTTGGTATTGAAGATTGTGGCGAAGCCAAGTTGAAGTTTGAGTTTGGCGCGTGTCCGTTCATAGTCAAAAATTAGAACAAGTTCTACTATTCTCGAGCTTCTTAGAAGCCTGACAGACAGAAAGATAACTGTACTAAGGATACATATCCTTCAAGTTAGTGTATAATAAAGAATTGTTTGGTTTTTGTGGGGTTTTTTGATGAGATTTTCTCGTATTTTGACGGAGGATGGATTATTTTATTACACTGTTACTATGGAGACCTAGTTACTAAACATCCCGGATGACTGAGCGTGCGCCATTTTGTAACGCCCGAGGTGTTTTCTGGGACCATAGGGAACCCGCAACCATAGTTTTTTTAAACCCACAAAATTCATCCCATTTGCTTCACCAATTTAAAAAAATGATTGATCTCGAATTTAAGATTACATAAAGACTCATAACATATTATTATTCGTACACATGAGTTAAATTTAGACACTACAAAGATTCAAATCGATTTCATTAGAGGCTTCAAAGGTCCTCTGCATGCTGGTTGGAGACTGCAAAAATGAGAGCATCTTTTCACATATACAAAGGACCTTTTCTATGGTCGAAAATTTATATTTTATGGTCGACTCAAAACGAAAAAAATGTAAAAAAGAAAAAATAACTTAATGGACAAATATAATTTAAGACTTCAATAGGAGCTTCAAAGGTCCTTTCACTGGATGTGAAATAGTTGCTCCCTCGTAGTGTACTCATAAACATCACATCCAGTGAAAGGACCCAAGTTTACAACTTTTCGGTTATGAAAAAGGTTTATTGAATGGATGCAAAGACTGTTTCTGTCTCATTGTCTCAGTCAGAGTTCACATCCAGTGAACACCTATTTCAATAAACGTTGTCATTACCAAACGCAATAAGTCTGGATACAGGGCTGTCAACCCCCCCGAGACATTCAAATCTGGAGAATTGATAGGGAAGGGACATGACGTCACAGCGCGTCAAAAAGCACGCGAAAAGATGTCTTTCGCTTTGTAACATTTGATGTGATTGGTTTATTTCTAACCATTCAGATTATCGCTTATATTACAAGGGCCTGCTTGCAAGAACAGTTTATGAGGAACGTTTTGATTTTGTTAGCGACAAACAACGTGAAATAATTGGAATTTTATGGTTGTGAAAGTCTAGTCTCACAAGACAAGAAATGGTCAGCTTCTGGGATTATCCGGGAGATTTGATACTCTAATCTGGAGACCGGGAGACACGGTCCAAAATCTGGAGACTCCCGGTTTATCCGGGAGAGTTGACAGCCCTGCTGGATAGGTCATTCCAACATGGAAATGGAGTTGTTGAATACAAAGAACATTGAATCAGTCTCAATACTAAGGACCATATTCTTGATTAGAATAAGAAGCAGAAACACAAATGAAACAAAGAATCCCATTCTCAACTGAATGACACCAGGTCTGAAATGGGAAAACGATACACCCTAGTCGACAAGGTCTATTGGATCCAAGACTAAAAATAAACATTTCCAAAAAATTCAACATCATAACTGATCTTTATTCTTAGTAGCAGAAATAAAACTTTATTTACAAAAAACATCAATATACTTCATTGAACTTCCTTTTCATCATGCACCAAACAAAGTATTATGAACTTTTCCTTTGTCCAATGAAGGATCTTTATCAGGATCACCACCCCTCTCCAAGTAAAGGTTATTGAATGGCATTTCTCTTGGAATCTAAAACAAACAGATTTCAATTCAGCTTTTTTTGGGGAAAAGATTGATTATCAGAGCATTTGTTGGCTGGGGTAAAGGCATATCTTAACTTTCAAAAGCCAAATGTGGTTAGACATACAAAAGTTTTTGATCAAACATTTCATCAATAAGTAAGCTAAATCAGCTATTATTTACTTTTATTATATGGCTTGTGCTACTTTGGGTGAAATTATGCTTTCTGATTGGTTCCTTGGTGGGCAGTATTTTCTGCTCCCAAGGCCCCTTCTTTATTACCATCTATTTTGGTCCATAAGTACGAGTACAGATCCAGCCAAAATTTTAGGAGGGGACTAATTGAATTTGGGGGGGGGGGGGGCTAATTGAGTTTCTTCCGTCAACACAACGGAAAACAATAAAAAAAGCATCTAATTTTTCAGTTTTGGTTTTGTTTTGTTTTTTCTGCTGAAGGGAGGCTGAAGCCCCCCTTTGCCCCCTGGATCCGCCCTTGAAGTAGTTAATATTGTGATAACATCGGCTTGATCAAAAGTCCTGCCATTGCACCGGAGCATTTGTGGGGCACAGTTTATCCAAATAAAGTCATATGTTATACTTACGGCAGGATTTCTTGAAGGAGCATCATACAAATATGACAAATAATAAACACCTCCCAACAAGCCAAAGGCAATTAGCAAATGGGTAAGAGCCTCAGTTCTAGAAATATAAAATGTATATACATATATAAATCAGAAATGAATTACAGTGTGCAGGCATCCCAGCCACTTTTTAGACAAATTTTATAGGAAATATAGGCTGTGCAAGTTCTAAATATAGGAAAATATAGGATTTTTTCCAAAAAATATATGCACTTCATAGGAGCTAAGATAGCTTTTCGGTGGTGTAACCAGGGATCGGGAGGGTGCACAGGCAATGATTTGCAGAAGTAAAAAGCCATAAACAAAGCAGAACCAAAAAAAAAGGGGGGCCTTTTTATTTCCTTCGCCAAATATGCTAAACCGTGTAAAATATAAATGTATCAATCAGCAGTCGTCCTATTTATAGGAAATATAGGAGTTTTTCTTTAAATATAGGCTCTTTATAGGATCCTATACAAATTATAGGAAATATAGAATATATAGGAGGTCTGGGATGCCTGCAGTGTGGAATATACTGGGCCCAGTTGTACAAAGGGTGGATAATGCTATCTGATGGATAAATCCTTATCCAGTGAATGAATGGTTGCTGTTATCCAATAAATTTATCCACTAGATGGTATTTATCCATCAGATAGATAGCACTTTTCACCCTTCATACAACTGGGCCCAGGTGTATAGAACAGTACTTACTTGGTATACCTGTCATTACATTCAACTTCTTGCCAAACCCAAATGTTTAAGGCATCCTCATCTTCATGTATCTAATCGTGAGAAAATAAACTGAGAAAATGAATCTCTGCTATTTGTGCTTGTAACCATCATAGGCACTGTTTGATGCTATCTTTACAACCAAATTAGCCAATGATTGTTATTTTCCATGCACATACCACTCAGGTTCTACTATATTTGCCCTCTTTTCCATAAAAAACATATAAAAAATGAGTCAGAGCAGACAGAGTAGAGTGTACTCCTGGTTATCGTATGAGAGGAAAACTTAAGGTGCTGACACAGGATGCAACATTGCACGCAACAGGACTGTTGCAGCATGTATCTACCCCAAACTTGTTGCAAACAACGCTGCATGCAACAAATCTGAAGTTGAAGTGTGCTCTACTCTTGCAACATTACACGCAACAAAGTTCAATATGTGCACATGGCTGCAACATTAACTGCAACGTTTTGAAATTTCCAGCCAATCAGCTTGCACCAAATTTATGACTGCTGACCAAATATCTTAACATAGCAGGCTGACACAAGCGATGTTGCATGATTTTGTTGCAATGTGTGTCACCCTGATTCAAATTTGTTGCTTGCAATGTTGCACTGTGTGTCAGCACCTTTACTTTTCTTACTTACAGCATGTACATAGTACGACGACATTATGTAACAACGAAATGGTATCTTATTGTCTACAATTGATTTATCCAATCAAAATAAGTGGTTATAGCCACAGTAAGATAGCAAAGTTTCTGTTTGACTGTGAAAAGCTCATTGCCGTAAGCATGCAGTACAGTGTCCATGATGGCTTCTAGAATTATAATGGACTGACTTTTTCTAGCCCAATGTGATTGGTCTGAAAGTGCCGTGACCTTAGCAAGTCTGGGTACACGGCATGTTTATGTCGTGTTCCAGGTATTTGATTGAATGGAAAGTAAATTCTCGTCTCGAGCAATGCAATTGGTCTGGTGTATCCCTCACCATGTGACAACTGTGTTCTTGCCGTGAGCTTTTCACAGTTGTACAAAAACTGCTCTAGTGTATGACTGTAGTATGGCTATAATTTGCCAAATCGTTTCCTATATTCTTTTTGCAAATGAAGGTTTATTCTTAGAGGAATCAAAAAGGCTATATAAGATAAAGATCATAGAATATTGAAAATAAAACATAAATGATTTAAATTTACAGGCTCTGCGTAGTTCCTCCTGTCTTGGAAATCCCACCAATCAGACTGCGGCCTTCTCTGGTAAGAAATGTAAGGTAGATTAGGATAATCTCCCAGATCTAAACCATCGTCATCCCACTTGGTTGGAACATTACGGTTGTCGTCAAATGGCATTGGCAGCGGAGGATTGGATTTAGCAGTATGATAACCTGCAACAACTAATAAACAACCAAAGTTAGAATCGTAAAAAGCCACCCTACCAAACTAGAGAACCTGTGCTGTGAAAATAGCCTGAATTTTCTTCAGCTTTTGAGCTAGTAACTGCGATAAAAATAGAATAAAAAGACTCCTCGCTTATCCTAGTTTCATATTACCTGCTCTGTGGCGTAGAAAATTGCATCTAATAATTGAAGAAGGACTAAATTTGTTGGCCAAACGAGCTAAACCAACAGCTCGAGACGCCATTTTGGAAACCTTCCCATAAACTCTTGCGAACCGTGTAAGTCAATCCGGGATACTGCTATAAAGTCGGAAAATGATCGGAAAACGTTCGGAATCAAATAACTTGTCCATGTGAGTTGGGATTCAAAATAATAATAAATGAGAGATAACATAGAACACACACACACAAAATAAAAGCAAAGGAAATTCCTCTTGCTTTACTGATAAAAACTTAAGTAAAAAGAAAAATATTTTCTTCAAACTTGACGTGATCGGAGCGAGTTTTACGTCATCATTAACGTCACAAGTCTAGCTATTTTTAGTGCCTTGATGTGGTGTATAAACTGTAAAACACTGGCTGACTTGCAGGATAGTTGACATTTACTGTCCTAACTGATTACTTCTCAAACAAAGATCATTTTTATGTGAATTTTAAATGGTCATTGATTTAAAAGAAAAACTCGGAGGAAGAGGTAAGCGGGTTCTGATAAAATATTTTGAGACAGCATTTATTTTGCGACTACAAAAATACTTCTTCAATAATGTTACCAACTCCGGGGCTTTGTTTATTTTCTTACTATATCAGATTTTAATGTCAAACCTTTTGACAAACCTAGCCCTATCCGGAGACTTTTGAAACAGCGAGACAAAAGGAATATTAGGAAGTACATCCCAATAAATCCAACTTATCTATGACCCGTATTAAAGACAAAGGGAATACCAAGAGGTTGGCTTATTATTCGTGACAAGTATAAAGAGTTTCATGAATTCCGTTAAAAATTGCCGGAAATTGCGGATATCGGATTAAAAAAGTTAAAAATCGCTTTATCATAACGGATTTTTCTAGTAAAAACCTATGCTGAATTGAAAATAAGGTTCGAAAATGTTAAAACTTTAGCATAGAAAATATCATCAAAAGAGAATTAATTAATAATAATAGGGAGAAATTAATTGCGAAAGAAAATTGAGGGAAGCGCAGAAAAAAAGAAATTCGATGACAGATATGTCCCCCACCCTACCCCTGATGTATAGAATTTCAATTTCAAGCAGTGCCTTCAATCAGTTGTGACTTACTCCAAAAACAGTTTTTAAAGCAAACTTTATTGAACTAAAATTTAGTGCTAATCTGGAAGTCAAATCTGGAAAGAAAAAAGGGGTGTCCCAGGTCGTTTGGAGATATTCAAGATAAACATAAGGTTATCAACAAGTTGTTGAAGAATAAAAAACCATTACAAATTAAACGGTTACCGATCAAGATTTTGAAGTCATTTTGACTAAATTACACATCGTCTTACAAATATAAATCATATCTTTTGAAAACTATTGAAAAACTACTGCAGTCTAATTTTTTTTCACTTTGCGCTTGAAATTTTTTGACTGAAACGAGTAAAATGTACAATTACTGTTTTTTCCATGGTTTTTTTTCTCGAACTTTCCCTTCTTTTCTATATGTTCTTTATGAAATGTGAATATATGTCTTTTTTTTTTTTTTTTTCTGTATCCGGATAGTAACACAGATTTAAGACTGAATGACCCTCCCCTCCCTTGGTATTTGCGTATTAATTCAAATATATGGGAACAAATATGTTTTCTGTATCCGAATGACCCTCCCCCTCTCCTGGTATATGCGTATTGATTGAAATATCATGTGGGATTTACAAATCCAAGAACATATTTAAAATATGATTTTTGTATCCGAATGACCCTCCCCTCCCCTAATATATACGTATTAGCGCGCGGTTATCCCTGGGCTGTCAGCTAGCTATTTTGCTATGCAAGGTATGGTCCCCTACGCCCTTCCACCAAACTGATCAACTAACTCACTTCATATGTGCTCTTATTTACAGCCTTACAACCCTCCATTTAGCTTCTAACAGCTCTAACACCAAAGACATGGCCTTGGAGAAGAAAGACGTGGACAAGCAGTACAAATTAGTTGTTGTTGGCGGCGGTGGTGTTGGAAAATCTGCCCTGACTATTCAGTTTATTCAATCACACTTTGTCAGTGACTACGACCCAACTATTGAAGACAGTTATAGAAAACAATGTGTTATCGACGATCGTGTTGCTCATTTAGACAGTAAGTAGTTCTTTTCTTACTTTTACGATGTTTTTAAATACGTAATTATTTTGTTGTTTGATGAAAACTCATTGTGTTTGGTGATATTCTTTAATGTGAAGTAATGTGGTCGACGACTCCCACCGAGTAGCTTCTTAGTCTTGAGCTTCAAGTCTTACTATAACCTGACTTAAAAATCCATTATTTCTGATATTTAGTTCCGTAGCTTTGTATTTTCGAATTCATTTATATTTTGAGATAATATAATTACAATATTTAAACTCTCATCGAATCAAGATGGCATTTTTATCTAGACGCTTTTCGTATGTTTGATTCGATCTTTTGAGGTTTTCACAACAGACCACGAACATCTTATATCATTATGACATCTTTTCTTAGTCATATTCAAAATCCTACCTCCGATCTCTTTAAATTTCTGTATTTTGTTGTATTGGAGCATATCCGTATGTCATTTATACTCAAAAACGAAATACGACTATAAAATATTTTGAATGCTTTGTAAACAGAAACAACCTCATAAAGGACTTCATCACCTGAAACAAGAGATTTAGTTCTCGTCTAAATAAAGAATTTCAAGTTATTAATTCACTGATATCTGACAAAAACCCTCGAGCTATAATACATTAATTATTTTCTTACATTAAATTTAAGATTAGAGGAAATGTTTCATTTTCAGAGTTCTAGAATTACATTTTTTCAGACCTTTTCAGTGACCTTTCATAACTTGTTCGCTTATTGCAGTCATTAATAAACATAGTACATTATTCATTATTTATACACTGGGAATGATTTATAGATCTCAACAACACTTTCCAAGGTCTGAAGGTGTTATTCTATCAAGTGCTCTTTTTCCTGTATTGTGTTACCTTGAAATAAAAGCTATTCAAACAGATTGACACGTTAATATTAATGGGTCATGCAATATTTTGTTCAGCATGTCTGTTCTTGAGAAATCCCAGTTTGCTAACACCATTGTGCTATATATACTTCATTATAGCATGATTAAGATTCCACATCAATGCCAATACCCCTATATCTTTCAAACGGATTGCAGAGTTCATTATTTCAAACCAGCTAAAACACACAAAACATTATTTGACATTGGCTTAAAAGAACTATTTAACATTGTGTAGGCCCTTAGGATGGGGTGTCGGCCCTGAGGGGCTCAGTAGTGGAAATACAGCAGTTTTTTATCTTAACCTGGAGACTTTCAGTTACCTCTGGGAAATCCTTTCTTCAAGAGCAAAAGTGAGCTACTTAAAAGTTAATTAAATGTCATTATGTGTGTTTTTCCATAATATACATATCAAAGGTTATGGGAATCGTGATAACGTAATTAAAGTGCAAATGAACCCTTTGACAATACATTCAGTACTGGTTCTGCATAAAGTAAATAGTTGAATGGTAAAATATTTCTTGATTTGAGTGATGAGTTTCTAAGCTATGAAGGTTTATACTTTCAATATGCTAATGAGTGTGACGTCTATTAAGGCTTATAATTAAATATACAAAATTAAACTGGTTCATAGATACAGTATTTAAGAAGCATCATTATTTTACTCATGGTTTACATGAAAGCTATTTAAAATTTTTATTTTCAAAATGTCCAGCATTTAGTATTACTAGTTACAACAAAAACACTCAAATACCTTACCTGACATCACATTTAAGTTAATCTGAGCTCATGAAAGTACAACAAAATGATAATATGTACCATTGTTATATACTTTATATTATTCAAGATTCTAATACCCTGGAAGTAAAAAAATTGTTGTCAAGTTTTATAAATAATATTATGCATCAGAAAGCAACAGTTATCCTAAAGGCTTAACTAATGTATGACCACGAAATAATGCGAGAGGAATTTATGATATATTTTGATTTAATGATGATAATACAGTATATTAATAATTTACTGCATGTTGTACAATGTCTTGTTATGATGCAGAGAAAAAAATTGAATTTCAAATTGGTGAGATGCCCTCGGCTATAGAAAAAGAATATTAATTGAAGTAATATGATCATCTGGGTGGATGTAGTCCTGAGAAGGACTGTTTGATGTGACTGACGTTTCGCCAACCTGAGCAGAAGTCATCTTCAGAGTCAAGTGAAGAATAAAAGTCAGATTGGTCATATTTAGAGTCACTGTTTCGGTGTTGTGGGCGGTTTTATTGTTTCTAATAAGCCTATTATATGGAGCCAGTAAATTAATTGAGCAGTTTAGTGGATGATGCTCAAACTTGGTAAACCAACTCTTCAGCACAAGTCGTTGCTGCCTATTGTTACAAAAAGAAAGGCATTCACTGGATTCCCAGTCTATCGTATGACCAGTCTTGGTATGATGCCTGGCAATATTATTGTGTTCATCCTGTTTCACAACAGCACTTTGATGTTCTTTACGTCTGATATTAAACGATCTACCCGTCTCACCAATGTGTGTTGCCTATATGCCAATATGTTTCTATACAATAGAAAAAGAATAGTTTTTTTTTTGTTTCTTGATCTATTTAGCTTTAACCAGTCCAATTTAATTCATGGTCATTTTTTTAATGTTGTTGAAGATATGATAAGAATTTATAATGTTAATAAAAACCAGATGATAACTTAAGAGGCTTAAATTGGAAATTTTTAACCTTCAGTAATATGGGTTAAATTTGCTTTGTGGACTATAAATTCTCATTACGGTATTGTTCAGGTTTTCAATTATCAAATGGACCTGTTACAGCAAAGAGAAATTCTATGCCTAGGGGGTGTACTCGGGTGGGTAACATGACGGGGAGGTCCGACATATTTTTTTGGGTTGACAATTTCATTCCTGGTATTTTTTTGGGTCAAGAGACCAGCCACGTATTTTTTTAGGCCTCGAAATGAAACTCGTATTTTTTTGGGTCGTCACATCTTTGAGTTCAATTTTTGTATCAGAAAATGATTTGTTTGATTTTTTTTCAGCAAGGCATGAGTGAGTTCCGTAAAGAAACATACTGATAACAATAAAAGAAGACAATACAACGTTATTTGTAATTCAATAAATCAGTTTTGAAGTATTTAAGTCTTGTATTTTTTTGGGTCAGAAATTTGGATGCCATTTATTTTTTTGGGTGTAAAATTTCAGGTTTGAGTATTTTTTGGGGGTTGCAATGTGAAGCTCCATCGGACCCTGCGTTATGTTACCCACCCAAGTACACCCCCTGGGATTCAAAGTTCTTATCCGCTCACAGATAAAAAATTTTTTGTTTCTAATTTTATGTCCTATTTGGTGAGATTAAAGTGACTTAGAATATACTGTTATACCCTGCTAGCAGAAGGCTTTTTCAGTTCTATGGAGAGGAAGAAAAAACCACCTCTGCTTGCAGGGTAATAATTTTGTAGCAAAATCACGAAACTAAATTGTCTCAAAAATTTCATAGACACTTAATTTATGTTGTTTTGTTTTTTGTTTTTTTCCAGTACTTGACACAGCTGGACAGGAGGTTGGTTACATATTCTGGCATTTTATTCGATAATCATCCCATTTTCTGTTTTTTTTTATACAGTTATTATTATTATTATTATTATTATTATTATTATTATTATTTAAATCTTATTGATTATATATTTAAAATTAAATCAATCAGCAGGAGTGTTTTATCTGGTTTAAAACCATGAGGTGTAGCAGAGTAGTTTTAGACCTGATAAAACACGATCTGCGAGTTTAATGAATGACTTGAAATCGTGAAGAATTAATGAGCATTTAAGGGTCCTTATTCCTGCCATGCTCTTGTACTCTTTTGGTCCTTTATAAAGATTACAAAATCTTTATATAAAGATATCCATGTTGAACTATTATCAGGTATTAAGATCCATTCACATGATGGATTTGAAGGACCTGATAGGTCTAAATGCTCATTAATTATCCATATTCGTTTGAAAATAATCTTAATAATAATAATCTTAATAATAATAATAATAATGATAACCTAAGGTTTATGGTTTAAACCCGGTCAGATTGTATGAAAGTCAAGAATAAAATAACAATAATAATAAACATCATTTGCTTTTGAAAGATGCTGACAGCACTCACCCCTTATTCATTAGTCCATAACCAATTCTCAAGCTCACTTATATGAGAAGCATTGCTTGATTGTCTTTCTTTTTGTTATCTTTAAAGGAATTTAGTGCAATGAGAGAGCAGTATATGCGAAGTGGTGAAGGTTTTCTTCTAGTTTTTTCAGTAACAGATCGATCAAGGTAATTAATAGTTACTCACCAAAGATATTCGATCATATTTTACAATTCAAGTCCAATAAAAAGCATACTTTAAAGATCCTAAAGGTAATTCTTATAATGTTGATTTTTTTTTTCATTTTAGTTTTGATGAAATTAACAAATTTTATAACCAAATTCTAAGAGTAAAAGACAGGTAAGATAACTGTTATTGATGTGATATATATTTGATTATTGAATTATTGATCCATCTACATCCATCCTTTCATCAATCCATCCATTTATCTCATCCTTTTTCCTATTCCTCTGTCCATTAATTCATCCATCTTTTCCATCCATCCAGTCATCCATGCATCCATCCATCTATTCATCCATCCTCCCATCCATCCATCCATCCATACCTTCATTTATCCATTCATCCATCCATCCATCCATCCATCCTCCCATCCATCCATTTATTATTTAATCCATTTATCATACGGTCATATTGAATCACGAAATACCATATCATTTGAAAATAAAAACTGAACTTGTTTCACATATTATATTTTTAGGTCAGAATTTCCAATGATTATCGCAGGAAACAAATCTGATCTAGAATATGAGCGAACAGTCTCCACAGCAGAAGGACAAGAATTGGCTAGACAACTAAGAGTAAGATATACTCAATCAAAGAATCGTTGTCAGGTTCAGAAACAGAACATAAAAGCTGAGACCGAAATGACACATGGGAAACGACATAGTTATAACATAATTTATTCATTTGCGCCATCCATGCAGTTGGCTTAAAATGCCAAACGCGTATTAAAAACAATGGATAATGCCACGGGTCGCCAGTCACAGCATGCATCTAATTAACGTACTTCCCATGTGCCATTTCGGACTCAGCTTCTATGTTCTATGTTTCTGAACCTGACAACGATTCTTCAATTGAGTGTATAAAAAGATATCCAGCTTCAATATTTTCATTCATTCCAATTTTTTTGATTATTGATTTCTTTCTTTCTGTTTGATTTCCTTTCCTCAGATACCTTATCTTGAAACAAGTGCTAAACAACGAACCAATGTGGATCAAGCTTTCCATGACCTTGTTCGGGCAATAAGGTATACAGTTATCATTTATTTGTTTAAACTAAAAACTGGATTTCTCTTTGTTTTTCTGTCTTTCTTGCGTGAAGGTTAGGCCAAACAAAAAAAATAAGTGTTTCCTGTTGCATGAGAAAAATAATTGGGGTTGGTAGGTCGGGTTTTTTTTCTGATACAACAGTGGAAATGAGCTTACTGGGAACCCTGTGGTGCATTTGGGAATAAAAAAAATATTAGCGTCAGCAAAAATCGGCAAGAAAATTAGGGTCAGTCGCACAACAGGAAACACTCATTTTTTTGTTTGGTCTAATCAATGTGGCATCTTTCGTAATAAGATATAATAATATAATAATAATAATAATAATAAGACAGGCGATATTTAAAAAATATATCATCAAGACTCACATTAGCTCTATATTTGCTCCTTGGATGTCCCATGAAGCCTGGCTGCCTTATCTTCAGAGTAGTCTATTGTTTATGCCAAGCTTACTTTATGATTAAAATGTTAATTTTATCTCTTTGTTTCAGACAATTCAATGTAGCCACGGAATCCCCAAGAACGAATAAGTCAAAGGGGGGCAAAAAGTGTACAATCCTGTAGATCTTTATATATATACCTTTTTTATTATGATAATAATGTTTAATATACAAAGTAAAACCTCCAGCATAGGTTATTACTATTGATACCTGATATTCACTTGTACTATACAGTCTTTTTGATGTTGCTAAAGCTAAAGTTTTCGTATGAGTGAGAAACGTATGGCACACAATATTGAAATTTAGTCCTGCCTGGTGCCGTATGTGAGTAAAGTTGTTCATTGCTTCTCTCCTTTACTTCAGAGGGTTTTCTCTAGGTTCTCGGGTTTTTCCATGGCCATAAAAATCAGCTCCTAAATTCCAATTTGATCTTGGGAGATATTCTTGACAAGTGGGAGATATTCTCAACAGGGCTAACCTCTTATTAATCGTTTCGCACCTCTATAATGAAAATGAAATGGTTTTTATTATAGATGGCTTCCCATTTTCTTCCAATAATTCATCTATTTACATGCACAGTTACAGTGCTGGTAAGTTAACCAATGGAACAGTAACGTTATCACTAGAAATGTTCGATATCGTTTCCCACTTGTAGGAAAACAGCTCCTTGATGTGCATTGCATTAGTTGTTCAAAAAATATCCATGCCTCTATCATAAAGGGAGATTGATTTAAGCTTTCACTCTACCATAATCAGGTTTCCCTAATTTAACAAGAACATCATTGCAAAGCAGTTTTCTCTCATCTCTACATTTTCTGACAGAGTGGCTGGGGTGAGTATTCCCATACAGTCAATTCAAAAAATGTTGTCGTCGACCAACTCAAGCCTACGCGACTGGACCGAAAAGAACTCTGGGTAGTAAACATTGAAGCCGAGTTGACTCCATAATTTTATCTGACTAGTGATGCCTGGTTTACAGCACGAACCTTCGTAGGCGAGCGGGAAGTGTTGAAGGAGACGTTTTTTAAATGCCTTCATATATTCGAAATTGTGAACTGAATAATAAGTACTTTGTTTTTGTTTCCTTAAACCCAAAGACATGCATTTGATGGATTGTTTCTCGCCATTATTATCTTATCACTAGCGGGAACAATTTATTCAGAACGAATATTTAAACCGCTTCAGTGATTTTTACCCATATTCCTTTCGGTCCAGTCGCGTAGGCTTGAGCCGGTCGACGACAACGTTTTTTGGATTGACTGTATAAAAAGAGCAAGGATGATTGTTGAAAAAAATGTATTTAACCCTTAAGAGAGAGAGAGAGAGAGAGTTTAAAACTAACAGCTTTTCACCCCTAAAAGAGAGAGTGACATAATATGAACCCCTCAAAGATACGACAATCATCCCTGATCTTCATCATATGGGATTAATCCACTTCCCCAGGTCTAATACATTTGTTAAAAACTATCTTCAAGGACTATCATCTGTGAAAATATTGAATCGTTTAGCTACTAACAATTTATATCCTACTAGCAGACTAAGGAAAACTTTTTATGGCTTTAAAAACTGTTCATTAGACCCTGAAAATTGTTCAAGTCAAGCTCTTTCCTTTTCAGAGAAATTAAAGTGATGGCTTAAAAATAAGTCAAAGTAATTTCCTTTGCTTAGAAGGCAAACAATTAATCCGTGAAACACTAATTACTAAATAGTACAAAATAGTGCTAATTAAACAATAGAAAACAATGGAATTTGCATGAAATTGTGCTATTTAGCATTACTAAAGTTTCACGGTTATATTGTTTGCACTCTAACTAAATTTGAAGTAATTAAATTTATGACTCAGTTTCAGCACTGCTCTAGAGCAATAGCCTGGTTACTAGTGGAGCATACATAAGAGAATTCTCCAAAATGTTATTGACATAAGATATTATCAACAAATATTAGTGTTAATGGACATGTACATGTTTTAATAGGACGTTTGCACGATGCCGTCATTGACCTCTACTACCAGACTCTCTTGCACACTTTCTTTTGTTCAGTTAATTAGCACTAATTGCCATAACATGGAAATGGCTTCCCATTGACTTCCATTATGGCATCATCTATTACTACTACCACACTTTCTTTCTTCAGTTAATTAGCACAGATTGTCTTACTATTCTCATGAGGAAATACAAATGTAAATATGAAAGAAAATGTGCGAAGCATCTTGGTAATGGCAGTCAATTGACTCCATCATGCAAACATCCTATTATTACTTGCCTTGAGTGAATTGTCCTTGAGGGATTAGGTGTTACTATTATAGTGTTTTCAAATGTTTTAGTGACATTAATGAAGTCCTTTCACATGTAGTTGCACAGTTTGTCATTGTAAACAAGTAGTTCTGAGAATGAAGCTTTTGTGTAAAAGGGTGATTAGATTTTTGCAGCCAGAATACAGCTCAAGCCAAAGCAATAGAGGAAAGCCTAAAGCAATTTAGGGCAAACTTGCTACATATTTAAAATAACTCCTTAACACTGCTTTTTGAGCATGGTATCTCATCACTTACCATGTGGAACATTCTTTATTTATCAGAGGGTGGCAATGGATGAGAAATTTGGAGTAATGTTCTCAAACTATGTAGATGAATTAGTAAAAGGAAATACCACCTTTGTTGCCACCAGTGGTATTACTGCAATTTCTATAAGCATGCGAACTCTATGTCTGCAAGCTGCACGCTGAAAATTTTTTTTGGCTGCCGTCAATCAAGCCTAATCAGTCGGTACCTTTCATATTTTTGATTGACGGCAGCGAAAAACCAAATTTCAGCATGCAACGGCCAACACACTGAGTTTGCATGTTTATGAAGATTGCATCTTCTTGAATGGTGGTATTTCCTATACAAATATTCTGGCCAATGCAATCTACTGAATCCTTTATGTAAATCACATTTGATAGCGTTACAAGTTTATTACTATAGCTAGGATTATTGATATTCAAGTATTTCTTTAATGTGCCATGTAAATTATAGAGCAGGTCTCACAAGACTGTAAAATCCAACTATGTTACACAATGTCCAAGCATTTTGATTGGATGAGCAATACATTCCATCATTTCATTGCCGCAATGGATGCTTTGCTTCGGCTGTGGACCTACTGTGACAAACTACATTCATGTGAAATCTGCACATTTTGGGTATTGTGTATGTGTTGGCCCAGAAATTATCTATACGCCCCTATATGGAGGTATTATTTAAAACACCYCCTTACCCCTGGATATTCTAATTTTCTTCCATGCAAACTCTGTAATTTTTGTTCTTTCCTTACCTTCCCCCCCGCCCCTTTGTGGGGTATAGATAATATTCAGGAATTACACATTTTGGTGCATGAAGGTGTTGAATGAAAAAATTACCAACAATCATGGACAATTTATTTTCTATTTGGGTATTATCATCATTATTTTTCTTGAAGATAATATAATATAAAATTAGGCACTTGTTATTAATAAATTAGAGCAAGAAGTTTGCAAGAAAATAGAAAAAATCTTTCCCAAGAAATGAAAGTATTTCACTCAGTTCCATCCTTCCACTTTAATGGAGAAAAGAATAGAAAAATCAAAACTTATTTTTGTAAAGACAATAATATAGTAACAGAGGTCACCAGAGTAAATACCTAAATCTATTTAGAAATAACCAAAGTGCCTTAAAGGAATTCTAGTTAATTGTTGGTTAAACATTGATAAGTTTATTTTCTATTTTAATTTATGGTTATGTTTTTCTTTCTTCCATGTTTAAGAAGTGAATGGTTACTAGTTTTTTGACGTGGGTGATATTTTGAGATAATAAAAAACTTGTGTAGAAATGGATGTGGTGATAGTGTGGTTCTTTAACATGGACTAGTTTAACATAGTGGCTGCGCTGCGAAACGAAAAGGGAGGAGGGGGAGGCTAGAAGCAATCAAACATGTTTTGTGCTATAATTTCCATCTACTTTTTTAGTTATGTATTTATATTGGATTACATATATTTCATTAGTTTTATTTTCTTTTTCTGCTTTTATAATTTTCACTTTTTATCGTAAAAAGCATTGAGTTTTAGAAATGTGTTTTTTTAAGAAATAAAGTTATTATTATTATTATTATTATTATTATCATTATTAAAGCAAAATGCAATAGGGAACAATTTTGAAATTACCCTAAAAAGGGGGGCTGATCTCTCCCACAAACTTTTAAGTGGAGGACTCTAGCCCCCCTGCCTCAGCTGCCTATGCAAACACCACCAGTTTTCAATATTTCAGCATATGCAGCAAACAAGATCTTGTAATACAATTTTTTTTCAGTTCTAATCCTACTTTTTAAGACAAACATGTCTATTACCCTTTATATTTTATCTCTCCAATAGTTTAAAGCCGGGTTGGGTGTTTATAGCACTTAAATCCTGTATTGTTCAGGAAATTTGGAAGTTTCAGAAAATGAAATATGACGGATGATGCTAAAGTTTAAAAAAATTCCAAACACTAGTTTCAATTGCTAAATTTTAGATTGTGTTTTACTTTTTAACATTGACCTGAAAATAGGAGAAAAATAAGGTATTAAGAACTGGGATCTACTAGATAAAAACTCACTATAGCCAGTTCTGGTTAAATAAATTTTAAACGAGAGGAAACTGTTTTTTTTAGAGTACAAGGGCGGATCCAGGGTTTTTTGAAGGGGGGGTCTCAGGGGTAAATTTTGTGGGCAAAGGAATCCCAGTCGCATTTTTRCCACAGCAAGCCCATTTGACCTCAGGAATGACAGGGGGGTCCTGATTCCCCCGACCCTCCCCCTGGATCCACCCTTGGAGTACAAACACTAAAAGTGTGCAACATAAATATCACTAAATTAGTGTTATTTTATGCTAATTATATTGTTCTCTTCTGCTTAATTAGTGCTATTTACTGCTAAATAGTAATAACTATTGCACACAATTTAGTGTTTGTACTCTATTTTTTTGAATTTTTTACGATATTTTTATTTCCATTTTTTTTTTNTTTTTTTTTTTTTTTTTTTTTTTTGTTTCACGTTTATTTCTTAATTTGTCATTTATCCCATTCTGCACTGATAAACCCACGAAAAAAGAGAAAACCAATGTCAAGAAGAACGCTGGTCAGTGGGCCAGTTGCAGTTTCATCGCCCGTTTATTTTATCCCATTCTTCCAGTTACATTTGAAGAGCCATTTGAAGGGTTCCCCACGCGCATGCTCAATAGCGCGCACCGGACTGGAGCACAACAAAGACCCCTCTTTAGTTGTCTTTTTTCGAGGGCTTTTAACAGATCAAAAAAAGAAGTCAAACAGCTCGAAGTCAATGAAGAATCCCTTATAAAACCATCAAGCTATAATAACAGCTAATTGAAGTATTAGGATCGGTCATGTTTGGTTCGCATCGACCAAAAGTTTTCCGATCACGGCTTGGTTGTTGTATCTGCGGTGCTAAATCTTCAAGCTCGCGTTTCACGTCTTCAACAAAATACGAAGAACATTTTGAAGGCTGCTTTATTCTCGACGAAAAACGCCAAGGAGAGATCTGCAATGCTTGTGTGTTGCTTGTTAAAAGATGGAGTAGGCTTCCTGAAGGAAGTACGAAAAACTGGAAGCATGTAAGTTTGTTTGACAGAAGAATTTTTTTTTTTTTCCTCGCGAAGTTCTCCAAGAACACACGCTATTTGAGCATATTACCAGCTTATCTCCTCGTTTCCTAACTCCGATCTCTATGAATCCACAGGTTGTCAACAGTAAAGCCACCATAAAGAGGAATACAAGGCCTAGAAGAGCATCTAAGTCGAAATATTCCATAGAAAATGGAGAAAGTAAAGCAATAGAAGAGCTAGATTCAACAAGTGTCAAGAAGAATGGCTCGACAGACCCAATGGAAACCAATGGTATACCTGTTAAAAAAATCTTTATAAATAACTTTAAAACCTTCTTTTTTGTATTCGACAATGCTTAAACTTCAAAATTCTATCACCATAGATCAGAACTACTTTGGAGCGCTTAGAAATAGTGCTTTCTTGGTCCAGCGACGAGAGTTTTCAATGTGTTCCAATTCAATGAAAAGCTTGCGCTCAGTTGAAAAACTTTTTCATTGATCAATGATTCTGTCATTTTACTGCGTTTTGCCAGAGCAAAAACAAGAAAGAAAGCTTGATATTTAAAAAGAAGGCCTTAGTATTGGATTTTAGTTGTTTAAATCGCATCAAAAGAGGTTGTCATTACGATCTATAAAAAAATTTTGGATTTATTTGCACTCGAATGGCTCTTCTCTCACTCATATCTCTTGTTTTAAAAGTCATTCAGCGAGAACACCCAGACTCAATACTCGTTTCCGTTTTACCCGACTTTTTACATGTTTGGCCCTAGTATTTAAATGACAGCTCTATTGTGTAATCCTCTAACTCTTAGTTTATCATAATCGAAAAAAATCTCGTTAAGGAAACATTGTAGTCATTATGTATGTGGAAGTCACTCTAGAAAACCATAAGTATTTCCTAATTTCACATCCTTGACATTTTTAGCACTATAATAGCTGCCCATCTCCTTGGTATTCCTGCTGAGCGTTGAATACTACATTCCCGTCATCCCTGTTACAGCTATGATTTTAAGTATTTGAATTTGAAACTTTCAAATGAAAGCTCATATATTTTGAAAAATTATATACATCTGTATGAAATTTAAATAGCTGTTTTCATATGTTCAATGAATAATTTCTTCCCTCTTACTTTGCACTTGTTGCAATAGATAATTTATGTATAAGGCTAGGATATTTTTGCAGCACTAAATCATTTTTATCTCTGTCAGCTCTTCTTTACTCTTCTAGATATTTTTTATGGAGTTTTTGATATTGTAACCAAAAAGCTAAACTTCTTTAAAAAAATTGTGATGTCATTGCCTTATTATTGACTATAATTATGGTTGTTTAAGTAGAGCATTTTTGCATGGGTAGGAAACATATGGTACTGACTTACAGCACGTACACGGTACAACATGCCGTAACGTTGAAAAGGCTTCCCATAAGAATGGTTACTGTATGAGTGGGAAACATATGGTACTGACTTACAGCACGTACACAGTACGACATGCCATAACGTTGAAAAGGCTTCTCATAAGAATGGTTATTGTATGAGTGGGAAACATATGGTACTGACTTACAGCACGTACACGGTGCAACATGCTGTAACGTTGAAAAGGCTTCATATAAGAATGGTTATTGTATGAGTGGGAAACATATGGTACTGACTTACAGCACGTACACGGTGCAACATGCTGTAACTCTAAAATGGCTTCCCATAAGAATGGTTATTGTATGAGTGGGAAACATAGGGTAATGACTTACAACAAGTACACAGTACAACATGCCATAACAATAAAATGGCTTCCCATAAGAATGGTTATCGCATGAGTGGGAAACATAGGGTATCAACTAACAGCAAGTACACAGTATGACATGACGTAACAATAAAATGGCTTTCCATGAGAATGGTTATCGTATGACTGGGAAACATACCATACTGACTTACAGCACATACATGGTACGACATGCCGTAACATTGAAATGGCTTACCGTCGATTTTGGTTAACTCATCCAATTCAACCAATAAGATATAGTACAGTCTACGGAGTTGCTGCAGTATTGTTTCCCCTTCATATGAAAATTACTTCAGTTTTGGATTGTGCAATGAATATAAGATCTTATTAGGTTCAATCATAGTAACTATTGCCTGAATTTAAAAATAATAATATCAAAGCTAGTAACACTTTCTTTATCGTCTTAGATGTGGAAGATCAAGAATCAGAATGTATTTCTCACAGTCCCTCACCTAGTGACATCTCCGAAGAGAGCTCATCCGGTTCACTGACTCCCCCTGAAGCAACAACCAAGTCCACCACATCTGCTGCATGCCAAACTTCATTTCTGTTCCCATCTTTAAAATCATCAGCCTTTAACAAGCTCCCGTACATCGACCTATCCATGTGGCGACAAGAAGAGATCTGTTGTGGGATGATTTTCCGTGGTCCTTGCGGTGAAGTTTTGGTAGATCCCAAACTTTTGAATCCATTGTGTACTTGTTCGACAAGTCAGAACAAGAAGATAGAGTATGGAGCAACGAAGGGTGTGTGCAAAGTTCCTAGTATATAACTTTGGTGAAGCCAAGAATCCATAAAAAATTCAACTATTATAAAAAGGACTTTTGCATATCTTTTTACAGAACAAGGACTGGTTTTTTTAAAGCTTATTTTTCTCCATGAGAAAGAACTACCTTTAAAACATCTCAAATATTATTTCAGAGAGTGAACACCAAATCTTTTTTCGTTTTTGTTCTTGGTTTTTGTCAGAAGAAACACTTTATATTTTTATCTATTTATCCAAAAAATACTACGACCTAGAGAAAATTTTTTAGGTTATTATATACTATATCTCTAAAGTACCTTTTCCAATCTAATGCTGCTTTTTATTGCTAAGCGCTGATTGAGACAAACGTCATGACAGGTTGACGGGCAATAGACTATWGTCAATCAAATAAATCGCTGGTGCACAAAAAGGGAACCATACTTTAATGGTTTATCTTATTGACTGTAGTCTATTGCCTGTTGATAATTCATGACATTTGTCTTGATCAGTGGCAATAAAAACAGTAGTAAATTTGTGTCTTATGCATCATTATCATATGATGTACACCCCACTTGCAGTACCAATACAGGTCAATTTGGAGGACACTTGGAATGCAGCTCAATTTGGAGGACATAACAATAGGTTTCCAATTCTCGGGAAATTCTTTTGTTTTGTAATCCAAATTGAGCATCTTTGACGTCAAATGCAAGGGGTCTATATGATGTTACCAAGAATTAGTGGGCGAGGGGGAGCAGAAAATACCAAGGGAGAGAGGTGAAGGAAATTTGTCACTTTCTCCATTCCCTTGAATGCAAATCTACCCCCCCTCCCCTCCTAGTGCTTACTCATTAATCTCTCAGTGATGTCCACATCTTACCTAGCCATGATCTGTGACCTGGAGCTTAATGTTGGTACATACATGTGTGTGAATCGTCCTCATTACCTTGACCATAATTTTTTCCCATTTCAGACCATGCATCATTATCTTGAGCATAAGATTCTTTGTCAAGGTATTTCTATATACATGCCTTTTCATTTGCAACCGTTAAACAAAGAAATGATACTCTAGGGAATGATACGTGGTATGAAATGGGAAAACATTACACCCAAAGTAAAGAGGTTTATTATGAACACAGTGTTCCATACCACAGCACTTTAAATAATTGCTATACCCTTGAACATAGCATATATACCCTTAGCTAGTTTATATACGATTAACATTATATATGAATAGATTTATCATGTAATATATCGTGAAAAGTATATTAGCTGTCATACATTTTTCTAATTTTTTGATTAAGAAATAGGTTTTTCAAGAGCTTTTAGGATGATATCTTTTAAATCAACTTTTTATACTATACATGTACATGAAGTTTTCTATAAAAAAAATAAAATAGATACAAAAATATGTTAACATTTATCAGTTGCTGCTATGTTCATAATCATCGTTGTTGTTGTTGTGGGAAGAGGGGGTGGGTTGAAAAATGGACTCCTAGGAGCTTGCACATAAGTAAGAACTTTTTGAAAAGCTCCCAACAAAGTATTTTAATAGTCTTTTTTGTTTTGTGAAACAATTTATAAAAGCAGAAAGGGGATAAGTTATTTTCTTGAATCATATTTAACAAGTTAACAAATTGAATCAAAACTATTATCAATAGGAAATAGAGGTTATCAGTCGGCTAAGCATCTGATACGGCTGTGTATTTCTACGAGTCACGGAGTATTTTAGTATAATGTAATAGGACTCCATGCTGTCCAATTAAGAAATAATTGGACGAGGGAAATTCCGAGGACTGACAAAATTGGATGAGGCCGTAGGCCAAGTCCAATTTGGCAGTCAGAGGAATTTTTCGAGTCTAATTATTTCTTGATTGGGGAGCATGAAATCCCATTACCTATTAATTATATAACCGCCTCATTAATCCCATATCAACAAGAACTGTCCAAGTAAGAAAATAATTGGACAGTTACCTATATGGAATTAATGAGAAGCTGTATAATTAGCCTACTAATTCTGCCAAGAAATGCTCAAACTCCCTCTAAACTCTATCGTACCCAGCGGGAGCAGATGAGAAGTGCTGATACGGTCTCATATCAGGCATGTTCTTTTTCCATATCACGCACGTTCTTTGCAGCGTTAAATGATAAAAACACATATTGAATGCGTTGCAGTATAGCTTGGTACCGAACCTATGTTTCTGGATATTTTTCGGCTTCTCGAGCTCTGAAATGCTTGCATATTTTAACTGAATTGTGAACTACACACGATCAAGACATTAATTAATTAATTGATTAAAAGTAGTTCGTGACTATGCAATGGCGATTTATGGACATATGAGGAAATTCGAGTCCTAAACTAAATGAAATAACAGCGGAGACCGTTGAAATATACTGAGGAATGCCTGGATATTATAGGAAAAAGACAGCAATGAATATTAGGCCTTCGGAGGCTCCGCCCCAAATTCTACATGCGATCCACGCACCTTGTTCACCAAGCTATGATAGGTATACTTACGGCGTTGAAGTCGAAAAAATATTTCGACAACCGTCCAAGTATGCATCACTTATGTCAGTCAATGGACGCACATTTTCGAGTTTCATATACACCTACTTGCAAGAAGGTTGTCATACAAGAATAGAACGTTTGTAATTTAGTAAATTAGTGATTTAGTAAATTTACCGATTAGTAATAAATTATCACTGACGTCAGACTCGAATTCATCAGTAAGAAAAAGATATTTTTGGACGACATGATGTAACAGGCATGCAGATGAAGATGTAATTTCAAAGTTAAAACGAAAATGAATAAATAAAAAATAAGAACAGTATTTGTTTTTGTACGCTTCTGCTCGTGTAACATTCTGTGGCTATCATGCAAACAAGAACAGTGTTTGTTTTTGTACGCTTCTGCTCGTGTAACATTGTGGCTATCATGCAGTAAATAAATAGGTTGACATGATAACAATGCTAAAAGAATTTCCCTTTAGACTGAGAAAAATAACTTAACTAAAACTACGAATTCTAGCGCTGCCTGGTGTTTCTGATATGTTAGTAGTTAGTCTGACGTCAGTGATAATTTATTCCTAATCGGTAAATTTACTAAATCACTAATTTACTAAATTACAAATGTTCTATTCTAATTGTATGACAACCTTCTTGCAAGTAGGTGTATACACTTATTTCAATAAAGTTAGACCTGAAAAGCTACAAAGCTGAGACCGGCAAGGACTATGGGTAGATACATTTTACATGTTTTAACCGCTTGATAACTGTTGATGGACTTGAGATCTTCTACGAGTTACGAGTTCACCTCCTCTGAGCATCCTCAACTGTTGTAGTTTGTGTCAAAAGCTTTACTTGTTGAATATGAAATATTTCCTATGATTCTCAGGGATTACATCTTTCTAGGTTTTTGGTGACTAACTTTATTGAAATAAGTATATACATATAGTGCCCCGGACGTGTTGACCAGGATGAATACATTGAACATTGAACATTCTCAATGTAACGTGAGTAATAATACCATTCAGTTTGACAAATGCAGGTTAATTTTGAGCGAATGAACAAAAAAGCAATATAACTAATGTATGTATAATTTATTTTGACATATTATTTATAATGACTCATTATTTATATTGGTAGGCCCGTAAAAATGCTAAAACTCGTCGAAATTCACCTTTTCGGCGCTAGCCGTCACGGAGCATAAATTGTTTTAGATTGTGTTACTGTCAGGCCAAGTTCGGACATTGTTCTTGAATTTCCGTACAAATGTACTGACTTAAAATGAACTATTTACTATGACGCTGAAATTAGCCGGACATTCAGCCGGACATTCGCAGAGGTCAAGTTAGATATTAATAAGTGCTACCAAAATTCTCCTGATTTATATATTGATTTTAAAATACTCCATTTCGGTGAGGAATCCAACATGCTTTCTTTCTAAACAAATCTAATAGCATAATTTTTAATGGTTTTGGCTCCGCACTATAGCAGCCCGCGACACTGAAAAATTTTAGCATCTCACTCGAATAACAACTATTTAAATTTTAATAACTTCTGTACGATTCAACCGAATTCCTAGAAAATCATGCAACGGACTATCACTACACCACTTAGCCCAGTGCAAAGGT